CTCTCTCTCTCTCTCAGTGCCGGTTTTTACACAAAGCAGGCAAACTGCCCAGCCACAGTATATTATTTATAAACACATAACGACGAGAGAGTAAAAAGTCAAACGATAGCTCGGTGTAATACTCCATCAGCATATGTGAGACGTGCTGACAAAATGAGTTACTTCTCATATTTTAGCCCTGTAGAAATAGATGTGTTGAATTGATAGGCTGAGTTTTTACAATTCATTAGGTGGAAATAATAAAAGACATGGTAAACTTGAAGAAAATGACATCAGTTGAGAGTCTACAAATTTACTCCTTTGTTGATTTTCTGCCGATATCTCCATTTGTGAAGTGCGAGAAGTAACTTATTTTGTCAGCACGCCCCACATATTATTTAACGTTTCAAAATGACATAAGATATGGCGTGGGTTTTTTTCCTCAAGGCACCAGAAATGCTCAGGGACAACTAAATGTGAGGCAGCGTGGTGGAATCAGGCTCTCGTCAATTTTTGGGCATATCGAGTTATTGGTGTCATCTTAAAGCCTGTTCAATTGTCTTTATTTGGATGAAAAAATTATCCATTTATCTTGAATACAACTCGAGATATTTGCAAGAGAAGGAGGTGGGGGTCACCTGTTTTCAGAGGTAAAATTTGTGAGAAAATGGCCGCCAAAGATTACTTATTTCCTTAGCTTAAGAGTCCGTGGTAACTGAAAATACATTTTTTTTTTGCGCTTTTAATCAACGTTTTTTTTTTTAAAAATCCACCCATAAATGAGTTCTTTAAATTGCATGAAAAGTGTTGAGCCAAAAAACAAAAATTTGATAAAAATTCACAAACCTTGGAAAAAATGCAAGTTTCTTCACTTTGATTATTTTGACGAGAGCCTGATTCCACCACGCTGCCTCATAAATATTATAGATCTACACACTTACTCATCTTAACGACAAAAGAGTAAAAAGTCAAACGATAGCTCCGTGTAATACTCCATCATATTTCACTATTCAAAAAATAGAATAAATTATTGCGTGTTTCTTTATTCTTAAGGCACCAGAAATGCTTAGCCACAACTACAGACTTCAACATAAGTTAAGGACCACTTGCAAACACTCTGAGTGGTCGTCTTGGGTCGACCTGCACGTGGGCGTTCTTGGACTGATCCAGTGGCTTGATGGCGCTGCCTCAGGCTGACAATGACTGAATGTGACACCGCAAGCCTTCTGGTAACTTCTCAGGCTCCAACTCCATCCTGCAGCCATGCCATAGCCCTAGCACGATCAAAATCTCTCAGCTTTCCTCTAGGTGATATGTTGATGCGATACTGGATTTTGAGCAAAGAGCGGCTTAAATTGCCACCAGTGAGCACAGTTCGAGACCGTACGTCCGTTTATGACGTGCACTAGAAATTTTAACAAAGGAATGTCCGTGGTGTCGCACACAAGTCGATAACCCTCCCCCCCCCCCCCCCC